CCTGCCTCTGCCTCCCGAGTGCTGGGATTAAAAGCATGCTCCACCAACGCCGGGCTTTTTTTTTTTTTTTTTTTTTTTCTTTCTTTCTTTCTTTTTTTTATGTGAGTTGGTGGTTTGTCTGCCTATATGTCCATATGAGGATGCCAGATTCCCTGAAACTGGGGTTACAGTTGTGAGCAGCCATGTGGGTGCTAATAATTCCCAGGTCCTCTTTTGAAGAGCAGCCAGTGCTCTTAACCGCTGAGCCATCTCTTCAGCCCCTCAGTTGATTTTCTAAAGAGATATCGTCTAATCAAATTAGGTTGTGTAAAGTAAGCTCACTCGAAGTCATCTTCCTCTCCTGATAAATTCGAAGACTCTACTGTATTTGTTGCTGTGTGATCTAACTAGAGGATAACTGGTCCTCCAGATTTCATTAAGGTTGAGGCCTTCAGGCTTTACTTCAGGGTGAGGACCTGAGCAGATGGCTCTTGCTAAAAAGTCTCTATGGGACAGCATTCCTGCCGAAGCTGCATCAAGTAAAAGTTGCTATCACAGATCTTGCAGACTACCCAGCACCTGATGATGATTTTGATTGGTTGAGTTCCATGGAGTATCTGGGCAGTGCTAAAGGGGCTTTGTGGCAGACAGGTGCTTGCTCCTGTGTGGTTTCTAAGGCAAGCTGGGTCTCCAAATAGCATACTTGCAACGAAGTTTCCAAGGAAATTGTCTCTCTAAACATGAGTTTGGAGAGACTGTGGACTTTGTTTTCTTATTTTTTTGTTTGTTTGTTTGTTTTGTTTGTTTGGTTTGTCGAGACAGGGTTTCTCCATAGTTCTTGTGGACCAGGCTGGCCTCGAACTCACAGAGATCTGCCTGCCTTTGCCTCCCGAGTGCTGGGACTAAAGGCGTGCACCACCACTGCCCGGTGGGTTTTTTGGGGGGAGGGTTGTTGTTGTTTTGATAATGACAACACTTGGGCCTGTGAATAAGAACACATATCTCACTTAGTTCTTGGAACAGTGCCTTATTGTCATTATCCTTATTTTATAGGTGACATCCAGGACCCAGAGGGTGGGGCAGTCTTTAAAAAAGCAAAGAAGATATTAAAAGGAGAGGGGGCTTAGAGTTACAGAAAGCATTCTGTAGGGATCTGGAATTATGACCTCTGACATGCTGCCTGCAAGAGGAAACACAGCCAGCTGAACTTCCGTGATTGGAAGAAAAGTAGCTGGAAAATAGGATTATGGTAATGATATTTCTGTCATATCTTCCCAGAAATAATCTGTTCTTATTTTCCCTTACAGAGTCAACTGTTCGTTTTATTTCAAAATTGGAGCATGTCGTCATGGAGATAGATGTTCTCGGTTGCACAATAAACCGACCTTTAGCCAGGTTTGTGTGTTTTTGGGCTTTTTTTTTTTTTTTCACATAAATTATCAAAAGTTCTTGCACTTTCAGGGGCAATTAATGTTTCTATGCACTTAGCAAGTCCTTTTTTTCCCCTTAGTTTTCTTTTGTTGCAGAGGGTGGTGGACTCTCCCTACCCTAGTGGGAAGTCCTGCTGTTCTTAGCCTTAGAGGAGCTCCTTAAAATATGGTGGAGACTTAGCTGAGGCTGGCTCACCACCCTGTTCTCCCTTCAGACAGACACTGGCGAATGTAGTAGTGAGGGATGCTGGCATGGGTGTTTGTCAGCAGACACAGACAGTTTCAGTGGGCATCGTGAGCATAGAACTGTAACGATGAAGATGGGCAGAAATTGACCCTAGCGGGTCTATTCAGCTCACTGAGGTGCTTGTCTTCATAGACTTAGGTCTGTCCAGGTTAGACTCAGTTCCACTTTATTTGGTTTGGTGGGACAGGGGAGGTTGTGGGGGAAAGGCAAGGATTTGGTCCCAGCAGAGACTTGCAGATGAATTAAGAGGGCAGGGATTGGAGGGTCTTTCTGAATCTGCCTAAATTGGACTGTTGAGTTCATTCTCCAGCCCAGGACTACTTGCCGAAGCCCTCTGAGCTTTGAATACTTTTTTTTCTTTAATTTGAATTAGAAACAAGATTGTTTTACATGTCAATTCCAGTTACCTTCCCCCCCCCCCCCCCCCCCCCCGCAACTAACACCCTACCTATCCCATACATATCCTTTCTGCTCCCCAGGGAGGGTGAGGCCTTCCATAGGGGGTCGTATGAGTCTGTCTTACCCTTTGGGATACGGCCTAGGCCCATCCTGTGTTTCTAGGCTCAGGGATCTCCCTCCATGTGGGGTGGACTCCCAAAATCCATTCCTATGGATACATCTTTTTAAGCATACATTTTTTCTTTCATATATTTTGCCCTTCTTGCCTACTGTATTGTTTTTCTGTGGGAGTTTTAAGAAATTAGCCAGTTGATACAAGGAGATAGAAGAAAGGGATTTTGGTTTAGAGTGTAAGTCCTCAGGAAACCACGGCATCATCTGTTTTTTGAGGGGACACAATAACCTCTTCCCAATTATCCCTGGCCACCCCATGGTTAGTGTAGGAGGCATCTGTCCTCTAATGACCCCAAGGTCCCTTTTTGTGAATTTTGATGCTATCAAAGCACCTGCTTCAAACTGTTATGAGTGTTGTTTGACTATTAACAAAATCTCCCACCTAACCCAGTGGTTACAGGCTGCTGACTGACTCTGCATGCTTTAGTGTCTTTGTGGGGAGTTAACAGGCACGTGAGGTGGTGGGCAGAGAGAGCAGTGTTCTTAGCCCTCTATGAGCCAGCAGGCCTTTAATGTCCCACAGATGCCTCCAGTGGCCTGAGCACTGTGGCCTTAAACAAGGCAGGGAGGGGCGGGGTTCCATGGGATGTAATGAGCTCAGCGTTACATTAATCACCTCAGTTGGTTTGGTTGACTAGTCAGAGGTAACTTTTACATTACTTTCCTACAATGAACAGCCCTCGTATGCCCCAGTCCTGGGGAAACCTGCAGAGACTTGCCACCATATTCCCAGTAGAAGCTTGAAAGTTAGCGTTGGAAAGCTCTGAAGGTGCAGACCCAGGGTGGTAGAGGACTGCTTTAGCTCAGTGGTTCAGGGTGTGTGGTCTCATGTTCAGCCTTCTCCCCGTGAGCTCCAGTAGCAGGCGTGTTCCTCGCCCTACACCCTTTGTGAAGAAACAGAAGCCAAGCCCACTGGTCTTCGAAGTGCTTTCTAGCATGTTGTTGAGAGACTGTGCTCTAGGTCACAGTCTGTTGGCTAGCATTTTAATTGTAGTGTAATTCAGGGTGGGTTTCTTTGTAAGCTCGTAGTGATGTGGACGTGAGATTGATGTATTATATTAGCTTACTAACTTAAACATGGTTTGTTTTTTCAGACAACTTGATTTTAAGAAGAACGGTACAGTGTAAGGTTTCAAGTCTGCCTGATCCAGTTTAAAGCACAAGGGCTAACAGGATTTTTTTTTCCTTAAAAGAAGGATCACAAAAGAGCAAATGTTTTAACTATTGTATTATGTAAACAGAGACCCACCAAGAAAGTGTAAATAAGAGTCAGGTATCCAAGACAACTGGCGTGGCTGTTTTGCTAAGAAACCAGAGTACTGCATACGGTTGAAGTATGCATTTGTTTAAGAGAGAACTTTGTGTGGGGGTATGATTATTTTGTGACTTTTCAATATGTTCAATATGACTTTTCAATATGTGCTGGCTTGAAGTACAAGAAAGTGTTAGTGTTCTCTTATCTTGTATTAAAGCACTTTATTGGTAATGGGGACCACTCAAAACAACAGATACAGTTCCTTCTTGGTTGCTGGCTGACTTGACCCAAGTCACTGCTCAAACTCTGTTTTCATAATATGATGGTTTTGGTGTACTTGGCACAAGACACAAGTGTATGACTTGTGAGAAAAACAACAAACAAACGTTACCCGTTTGCAAACAAACTGTCTCTTTGCAATTGTCTAATATATGCACAGCAGCCAGTAGAATTCCCCTTTTTATTTTTTTTTCCCCGCAGACCATCTTGATTCAAAACATCTATCGTAATCCCCAAAACAGTGCACAGACGGCTGACGGCTCACACTGTAAGTCCCACAGTTGGAGAAATTTTTTTAAACGATGGTGTTCAAGAGCCCACTCTTAATTGAGACATAACGCTGGCTCTGAGCTGCTGACATAGAGCTGTTGCAAACAGGACACGGTGCTGGAACCGCGTGGCGCACAGCCAGAACTTGACAGGGGCCGCACTCAGGAGGCCCTTCTAGGGAAAGTCACTGGCTGGCCTCTCCTGTTGACTAACATTTGTCATGAGAGTGTCAGCCCACAGGAAGCGGGTTTTAACCTGGGTAGCCGATTTCGGCTTTACAGTGACTGAACCCTGGCCTTCCTTAAGTTCTTTCTGTAAAGTTAAAATGTAGGAATATTAAGGTAAGTTGCCCAGTAAGTGTGGGTTTTATTTCACCATTATAATTTTTCCTCTAGGAAGTGGAGATTTCATGGCATGAGATTATTGTATTTCTCTGGTACAGCGCTTGGTTCATCGCAGGTGTGAGCACTTTTCCTCTCAGTCTGTCAGCTAAGAGCCAGTGCCGTCCTTGCTTGGCTGGCACTTGGCAGTGGAGAGTCCGCTGTGGGCAGAAGTGCGATATTGGCATCTCATGAGATCTCCCAGCACTGCAGTGTTAGTGTAGTTCAAGACAGCCACCAACTAAGGGAACACCTCTGCTCTAGGAAAATAACCTGCTTTCTTTTCAGCACCCACTCAACTGAAGCGATCGTCACAGGCAACCGGTTAAGTGTGTACATTTAATTTCCATAATATAAAGTTGTTGCGTTTTGTATTTCAGACCATTGCCCTCTTGAACATTTACCGTAACCCTCAAAACTCTTCCCAGTCTGCTGACGGTTTGCGCTGTAAGTTCATACAAGTTCCTTCCCTGGTCCCCTGGGCTTGCGTGTCACAGCTCAGTGTCCACTCCACCCAGTCTGCTGTGCTAGTGTCAAGAACCGCCTTCCTAGAAGTGGCAGGAGCTGTTGTCCCCACTGACCTGCTGGAGAGCTGAACTCCTGTCCCTTAGTCAGAGGATGACAGGACTGGCAAGGGCACCCTTGAAGTAGTTGGGACTTGCTGCTCTTTGCTCCCTCCGCACTTGGACCGTCACCCTGGGATGCACTGGGATTGAGTTCGAGGTCTGCTCTTCCCTCTGAAGAGCAGTAGTGACATCTGAATGGCTCTCACTTTCTGAAACTTGAGTGTAAATTGCTTAGAAATTTTCAGATTTTTAGCTTTCACTAGTTTCATTTCCATAAACTCTGCACGTCAGAGGTCATGCTCTTTCGTGAGGGCCTTGTTCTGAGTGTTTCCCGGGTGAGGGTCTGCAGCTCGCACTGAGCCGAGTGTTCCCGCTGCACCCTGCAGGTGTGCTGACCAGATGAGCACTCAGCAGAAGAGATGCTCCGGGCCAGACACCCACTTGCGTAGGTAGCACTTCAAGCGAGCTTCAGGAGGTAGCCTGCTACATTTGGTTCATGGATGGCACTTGATGGGGCAACAGCTTAAACTGGTGTCAGTCAACATTACAGTTTCTTCGTGGCCTGGGAATTCCTACTATATATTTAAGTTTTATAACTGTTCTACAGTGGAACAATGAGATGCAGTCGTGTCCAAACCCAAGGTAGACTTCCCTTGGATGGCCACATGCTAAATCCAGCACACCTCTGACCGCAACGTCCATCTGTTGGTTGGCTTACCCTGGGTAATAAATGGTCCCAGGGCCACCACCTGCTGGAGCTAGCCAGGCTGGGAGGCCTCTGGTGCACGGGTCTGTGGATCGGGCTTTTCATATTGTTTCCCTGCTAAGATGCTGGGTGTTTGTGGTGTCGATCCTGACCTGACAACAGAGCACTCTCTAAACTGAGGTAGTGTTCATCTGACAATCCTTGGTTTAAATACTTAGGTTTATTTTATTTTTAGAAGTAAGGTCTGTAGGAGGAGGGAGGTGTTTATGTGTGGCTTTATTAAGTAACGTTGGTTCTCCTCCCTGTCCTGGGGTATAGCAGATGGAAAACATGGTTGGTAACAGTGATTGTTCTTTGTCTGTTTGTTCACTTGGGGACTCTGCGTACTGACAGGATGTTGTGTTTGCTCTCTCTATTTGCAAATTCACAGAATGTTTGGGGTATACTGTAAACTGAATTTTCAGCTCTTATTAAATCTTCCAGTTCTGGAGTCCAAGTTGTAGAAAGTAAATGAAACTAACTCTTCATTTTAGAGCAAATTAGTTACCACCTTGACATTTGTAGAAAAATGCACATGAGATACACAAGTTAAAGTTGAATATAAATCTGTTTAAGAATAGTATTTCTTTAAGTAGTAATTTTCTAAGTTTTAGTATTTAAAATATAAAAATATTGAGCCCGCTGCTGATGTGTCTGGCCAGTGTCTTGGTGTGCTGGTCTCAGCCTTTTGGGTCATTTTTACTGATGGGAAATGAGGAAGTAGCTGTCAGTCTTAAACCACTACCAAATGGTTTTCAGGGCTCTTAGAACTCAAAGCTTGGGAGTATCTTCATGTCCCGATTCTCCCTGACGCAGAGGGCCTGTCTGCCATTGGAGCAGGATTCTCAGCCATTTGCTGTTGCCTGTGACCTGTTCCTTTTCAGGCAGGATGGGGCACCCCTGAAGGTGTGGTCAGGTACCACATATGGGGCAGGCTCCTGTCAAGAGAGCCTGACAACATTAAATAAAATTTGGATTTTCAGGCCAAATCATTTCCTCAAAATTGAAAATACCTAACCTGAGATAGGTTAGAAAGGGAGCTCAAGTGGTCAAAACAGGGACCTAGATTGGGTCTTAGTCTCAGATAACCAAGAGCTTTGAATGAGCAGACACCCTTGGTGTGACCTGTGAGCTCTCCTCTTGTCCAGGAATATGGCTTACAGAAGGTGTTGATTGAAGACCCAGTCTGGACAGCATGGCCCCCAAAACCCTGTTGGGCCCTTGCCACCTACTCGCCCAAGTGTTTGGAACATAACTATTGACATCCCGTTCTGTGGGGTCTTGGAATAAGGATGAGGGAGTGGTGGTTGGGATAGAGTGAGACTGGGCAAAAGTGTTGGTGACTAGCCGTGACTTCACTACTGCATGGCTTATGGATAGTAAACTTGGTGCAGAGGTTGGGAACACCTTTAACAAGATCTAACTGTGTATAGAGAGACATCCAAAATGCTGGAGTCTGGTGGCTTGGGTTTCAGTCATATCAGAAAGAAGTTTCTAGCTTTCAGAGGTTGGCAGTGTCTAAAGGCATATGAGCTCTTGATCACTCACCCTGGTTTCAGCTTCCATATTGACCTAAATGAAGGGGAAATCTGTATTTATCTGGCCTCCAGTCTTAAGGAAGACATCTTTATTTTAAAAGGTCTTAATCTAAGAGTCACCTTTTCCCTTGAACTTGGTGTGACCCTTTTGGTACCTACGAAAGCTGGCTGTGGTTTTGGTAGCCGGGACTGAGGCTGTGGTGGGCACTTAAGATCTCAGCAACTCCAAATCACAAGCAGTTCGGTGCTCCTGTAGCATGCAGCTCTGGCCTGGCGTCCTCTAGACAGTCACTGTAGCAGTTGAGCTTGAGGACAAACAGCAAGGCCACAGGGCTCTCACCAGCTGGGTGTCTTTGGCTACAGGTGCTGTGAGCGACGTGGAGATGCAGGAGCACTATGACGAGTTCTTTGAGGTGAGCAACTGGGCGCAGGATGGGAGGGCGGCCATGCGATGCTGGGCTATGCAGTTTTCCTCAACCCCTGTTCCCCTTCAGGAAGTCTTCACTGAGATGGAAGAAAAGTACGGCGAGGTTGAGGAGATGAATGTCTGTGACAACCTAGGAGACCATCTGGTGGGGAACGTGTATGTCAAGGTACAGACAAGTGGGATGTCATGAGTTGCCATCTTGGTGGCTGTGGTCTAGTGAGGAGAGGAGTAACTAGGGTGGAAGAGGCTTAGACTGGTACAGATGAGTCTGCATACTTTGTTTCTTTTTCTGAAAAAACTCCCTATGGGAACACTGATATTGCTCCTCATGATTGGATATGAAAAGGTAGGCAGCACTTGGTGGGATCTTAGGCTGTCCTGGGTCTATCATGAGGAGGATTGGTGAGATTTGACTGCATCAGCCCGTAAGTGCTTTACTTCAGTGAGCGTGTGATAGTAGTGGGGTGGAGAATTAAACGTTAGCAACTGGAGTGGAGTGGCAAGCACTGTCATTGCTTTTCAGTTCCGACGTGAGGAGGATGCAGAGAAAGCTGTGATTGACTTGAATAACCGTTGGTTTAATGGGCAGCCAATCCATGCAGAGCTGTCCCCAGTGACTGACTTCAGGGAAGCCTGTTGCCGCCAGTATGAAATGGGGTAAGGAAAAGCACAACCCGTGTGTGGTGGGTGGAGCTCAGTCAGTGTGGACACAGCATACATAACATGTCTGGTTCTGACCCACAGAGAGTGCACAAGAGGGGGCTTTTGCAACTTCATGCACCTGAAGCCTATCTCAAGAGAGCTGCGACGGGAGCTGTATGGGCGTCGGCGTAAGAAGTGAGTCTTGGGTTTATGGTGCAGTGGGAGGCTCCCCGTTGCCCAAGGAAAACCAGGCCTGGGGTGCTTCTTCCCTGGTGTGTCCTTTCAGACCCTGGTGCATTACTTCAGATACAAAATGCTGGGGAGAAGTTTGCCCCCTGCTGTCCAGGGAGGCACCTGTGTTCCATAACTGCACATGCCTGCAGGGATTTCTGATGGTGTGTGGGTTGTCTGGTTTTGCATACATGGGGCCATCCCGCTGAATTGCAGACAGGTGGGCGCAGAGAGCAAGGGTCAGATGAGTCCAGTGGGTCCATTGATTCTAGAGAGTTCTCACCCTCTCCTAGTACATGTAGTTCAGGAAGTGCATATTATTGAGATTGGTTAGATAGTCATCAAGAAGCAATTCTCCTTCCCCAAAATTTAGCCCAGTGGCTAGCAAGTCCTAAGGAGTGGGTTGGGTTGGAAAAGGGCTGTGTGCAGCAAGTCGGTGTGGGCGTCTTCGGGGTGTGCATCCAGGCCTTGCTGCGTCTGTTTTGTGCCGATTTCCCACAGCATTTGGTTGGTTCTAAAGACTTATAGAATGCTGAGTGTATCACCATCTTCAGTTTGGGTGTGTGTCCCACACTGGGGGATTGGAAGTGCTATGCTTTGATGCCATTTTCTTGTTCTTGATCCAGGCATAGATCCAGGTCCCGATCCCGGGAACGGCGTTCTCGATCCAGAGACCGTGGTCGTGGTGGCGGCGGAGGAGGTGGAGGTGGTGGAGGACGAGAGCGTGACAGGAGGCGGTCAAGAGACCGTGAGAGATCTGGGCGATTCTGAGCCGAGCCGTTTTTACCGTGTGTCTGCTAGACAGTGTTGTAGTTGGTGACAAGCCAGTTCATAATGGGATTTTTTTTTTAAAAAATAACAAAAAAAAACAAAGATGGGTTTCTGAATAAAATTTGTAGTGATTATACAGTATTGGTGTGACTTCCTGTCTGCAAATTTTTTCTTTTTAAATTTATTTTCTGTGCATTGCTGTGAAGGTGTCAGATCCCCTGGAATTGAAATTAAAGTGTGAGCTGCCATGTGGGTGCTGGGAATTGAACCCCAGTCCTTTGAAAGAGCAACCAGTGCTTTTAAGTGCTGAGCCATCTCCCCAGCCCCTGCAGTTTCTTTTCTAAAAGTTCTAGTCCCCTGTCCTTAAGGTAGGTTCATATCGCTGCTTATAAACAAAACTCGAGGGCATAGAATCATAGGTGAGGGAGGGTAGCTTCGTTAGGAAAGCTGCTCTATCTAGTGATACTCTGTGGCCAGGAGTTTCTCTTCAAGCATTGTGGGGGCTCTGCTTTTCCCTTCACAGCTAATGAGCCAGTGTCCAGCTGCAACCCTCTGAGTACATCAGGCTATGGATGATGTTTACAAGAGAACATGTCCTGGGGTGAGATGCAGCTCTGGGACCTGTTAGGGCCACATGACCTGTGTCTTCAAGCCAGGTATCAGTAGTAGTGCCTTTGGATGGGGTGTGCCTGGTAGGACTGGCTGGCTGACTTGTGTTTGTTTACATGCCTGGGAAATGCCCAGTAGCACAGCCACAGAGCCCGATGAACACACCTTTGTCCAAGGCCCGTGTGGTGCCTTGCCCTAGACTACTTGTGTTGTGAGCTAGGGTAGGTACTGTGCTGCCTGTGTAGATATTGTTGAGGGTGTTGACATGCTGTGGCCATCCATTACCAGGCCGAGTCAGACATCAACCATCTGAGGAGCATGCAGTCACTTCTGAGTCCTGACAGCTCTTCACCCAGGACAGGAACCCTCTGTGGGTGTCCCATGGATTGCTCTAGTAAGCATCTGGTCACTCCCATGTGTCTGGAACATTGCTCTGGCAGTGGGAAGACATGGGGCTGCCCTCAGACATCACACAGCACTTCAGAAAGAAGTACTACTTCCCCAGTCTTTTTCCTGGAGACGGTTGGCACTTGGGGTGATGCTGCCCCTGTGCAAGACAGGCTTTGTTGAAGTTCAGATGTCAAGGGTTGAATGTGAGCCTGTGAACCTCTCCACCTGCTCATGTTTGAATGCTTGGTCTGGTGCTGTGGCTTCCGAAGGCTGTTTAGGAGGTGGAACCTAGAATATCCAAAATGTCTGTCAAATGATGCCTCAACTTCTGAGTAGGAATCTAACTGCACAAGACACTTCAAGCCTTTTTTAACCGTTCAGTCATGTAGCTGCTATCTGTAGGTTCAAGTGAAAGATTAGGGTTTTAGTAAAAGTGATTTTGAAGTGTCTGCAAAGGCACATGGACAGCTTGTATCATGATCCAGGCATGAGAGGCCACCTCCAACATCAGTGTGAGTCTGATCATGTACTGTTACCCGGGTTAGGTTCACAGTTGGGGGCCCTGACAGCCCTAACAAACCAGGATTGCCCACACTCAGTAGGCCAATTACAATAAAATACTAGTGAAAACTACAAAAGGGGGATTTATTCAATATGACCACCTGGGGAAGAGGACCAAAGAAGTCCAATGGCCACCTCCACCAGTCCATCTTCAGGGGATTCCAACATTAAGTTTTCTGTGTTGAAAACGTGGTGGGTGTACATGTGAAGGGTGGGTGTACATGTTACGGCACACATGTGGAGGTACAAGGCCAACTTCAGGAGTTCTTGCCTTCCACCTTTCTGAGGCGGGGTCTCCTTGATTCTCTGCACTCCCAGCTAGCTGGTCCTTAAGCTTCTTGCCATGAGCCCCAAGACTAGATCTGCACCACACAGCTGCATCTGGCTTTGTAAGGCGACGGGACTCATGGGGCTTTACTTGGGGCAGCCTGAAGTTTAGGTTTGAATGGCGGTCAGAGGTGTACACAGGTAAGCAGTCTGGTCAAGGAAGGTGTGTCTCTCAGGTTTCTCCTGCAAAGTGGTCAGAACTGAGCGAAATCCCTGTGGGAGAAAAACTGCCCTCTTATTGCTATTCTCTCAGCATTTTACTCCCGGGAATTGCAGGTTTTTGGAGTCTATTGTTACAATTTTTGATGGCCAAATGGAGAGACACAGTCATCTCTGCAAAACATCTTTCCTTATGGTACCCCTCAACTGTGTGACCTCCAAAATTAGTGGCTTGTTAATCAAGTAGAAGAAGAAAAAAAAATGAGATTTTGCTCTGACATGGTGGGGGCAACCTCAGGGGGCATTGTGTGAGCAAGGGTTTCCTCCACAACTCACTCCTGTCGTCTGTGGCTTGTGAGTGACAAGAGGCTCCCCAGTCTGTGGGCAGGCACTCAGGCCTGTAGCTGACCAGGTGTTTATGTCAGGGCTGTTTGGAGAGTACAGAACGGAAGTAGAGAGATACAAACGATGCTTTTAACCAGGGGCAGGTTAAGGGCTCACATTTTCCTCTGTGTCCTCCCATCCAGACCGTGACCTGTCACACATGGAGGGTAGAGAATGATGGCTGATGGTACTGGGTGTCCTTTGGAGTTGACCAAATATTGAAATTAAATTGTGACAACAATCTCCCAACTCTGAGAATACTACAGACTGTTGTGTTTATTTCAAATGTCATTGTGAGCAGGGGTAGGATGGGGGCATTGGACTCCAGGTCTGAGGCTACACATGGATATTCTATAAAAATGAGTAAGTACCCAGTCGGGCGTTGGTGGCGCACGCCTTTAATCCCAGCACTCGGGAGGCAGAGGTAGGCAGATCTCTGTGAGTTTGAGACCAGCCTGGTTTACAAGAGCAAGTTCCAGGACAGCCTCCAAAGCCACAGAGAAACCCTGCCTCGAAGCCCCTCCCCCCCAAAAAAAGAAAACCAAGAAAATTGAATTATAATTTAATAATTATAATAATCAATGATCCACAAGGGAGGACAACTATTACCCAATGAGGGCCAGTGATTAATGTAGGAAGAGCGATGTGGTTAAAAACATCATTTGGTGACAAATGTCGATTAAAAATTGGTTCAATGTTGATATTAGAGTGTGAAAGACCAAAGTATCTCCATGGTTATTAAGTCTCCCCACAAGATACTGAGTAATTAGAACGAGGGGCAGAGGAACTTCCCAGGGAGATAGAAAGGCAATTACCCCAGCCACACTCTCACAGTTGGGACCAGAGCTGGAGATGGAGCCCAGCTGACAGCATGCTGGCCAAGGGTGCATGAAGACTGTGGAACTATATATCCCAGAACTCAGGAGTTGGAGACAGGACCAGAAAAGTTCAAGGTTACCATTGGGTATATAGCAATGGTAGATTTGAGGTCAGACTGGACAAATGAAATCTTGTCTCAAACAAAAAGTTAGCATAACATCAGCAAGGAGACAATACAACCCCTGACAGAAGCCGGTCATAAACTCAGTATTCCTTTCACAGCCTGAGGCAAAGTATGTCATTCCCTGGGTCTGGCCAAGAGAAGGGAAAAGCACACAAATCAAATCGATGGCCGTTCTACAAAAATGCCTGTCCTGGGCACTTCAAAGTGTTCCTGTTCCTCAAACACAGGGTAACCTTGGAACTGTTCCAGATGAAAAGGGGCAGAAGTCCAGGGACTTGGCAGAGAACAACGTTGGGGCCACTGGCAAACTAAATAATGGCAAGTAGCTGGGGCACAGTTTGCAACCATGTTAAATTCCTGATTTGACAGGTGCATTATGGGTATGGAAAATGGTCCTGTTTTTAGGAAATGATCAAGTGTTGAAAGGGAAAGATGACTGTGCTGGCTAAGTGTTTTTTTGTTGTTTATTTTCTGTCAGTTTGACATGATCTAGAGTCATCAGAGAAGTAACCCCAAATGAGAAAATGCCTCCATCAAATTGGCCTTTGGGTGGGCTGATGGGGAATTTCTTTTGGATTAATGACAGATTAATGTGGGTGATGCGACCCCTGGGCAGGTGGTCATTGGTGCTATAAGAAAACAGGCTGGCCGGGCGTTGGTGGTGCACGCCTTTAATCCCAGCACTCAGGAGGCAGAGGCAGGTGGATCTCTGTGAGTTCGAGGCCAGCCTGTGAGATCGAGTGCCAGGATAGGCTCCAAAGCTACACAGAGAAACCCTGTCTTGAAAAACCAAAAAAAGAAAAAGAAAGAAAGAAAGAAAGAAAGAAAGAAAGAAAGAAAGAAAGGAAACAGGCTGAGCAAGCCAGTAAGCAGCTTTCCCCTCTGCGTCAGTTTCTGCTGCCAGGTTTCTGCCCCTGTTCCCGCCCTGACTTCCCTCTAAGATGTAAGCCATATAAACCCGTTCTTCCTCAAGTTGCTTTGGTCATGGTGTTCTTCACAGCAACAGAGAGCTAACTAAGACAGGGTCTCACCTGTCTACAGCTTGCTTCAACAGCTCAGGTGGCATGAGTGTGTGGAGAGAGAGAGAGAGAGAGAGAGAGAGAGAGAGAGAGAGAGAGAGAGAGAGTGTGTGTATAGAGAGAGTGTGTGGAGAGAGAGAGTGTGTGTCTGGAGAGAGAGTGTGTGTGGAGAGAGTGTGTGGAGAGAGTGTGTGTGTGGAGAGAGAGAGAGGGTGTGTGTGGAGGGGGGACAGGAGGAAAAGTCTGCATGAAAGTCTCTTGACATTTCTTCTCCTTACTCTTTTCCCACTCCTTTTCTGGCAGTCTGAATTAGGTAAAGATAGTCAATTTTCAATAAAATCAGATACTATACATATTAGTATTCAGGCCTGCCCTTGGGGTTCTGACAGGATACGCCCTCAGCTGCAGTCACTAAGAGCACCACCTGTGCATATTCACTAAGTTCCCTTTTAAAGGGCCCTGCCCACCTCCCATTTCCCTTCCTCCCCCCTCCCTCCTTCCCCTCTTCCTCCCTCCTATCCTCCTTCTCTTCTCTCTCTCTCTCTCTCTCTCTCTCTCTCTCTCTCTCTGTGCCCCTGCTCTCCTCTCTCTGCGTCTTTTCTTTTGCTATTCCTAGAGGCTGGTCTCCCCTCTATCCTCCCCCTTTTCCCTTTCTCTTCCCCCCAATAAAAAAAAGCCTCCACCCAAGT